TTTACCCTTCTTCTGTAAAAAAAGAGTGATTATTTACTGAAATATGAGACAAGACCTATTACGAGTCTTCTGATGGAAGATTCCTCTTCTTTTATGTGCTGGCTGCATATGTTATTCACAAACTCACAAAGACGATTAAATAATTCATGTCTCATCTTTCTTTGTACATAAATTTATCCACAGGGAGGATATTAACATTGATGAGCTTATTATACAGATACAAATGAAGTCATGTTATTATCATTTTATGATTGTTTTTGTCTTGTGTAGCCTCTGGGGTTATTGAGATATTAAATTTTGATAGACTTTCTTCTCAGCATATTTTCTCTTCTTTCTTGGAAGTTGTTTTCCAAAGTGGTTACTGAAGTTGGTGTAAAATGATCAGATTTATATTAATGGCGTATTGACATTATACAATATTTTTGTCACTGTACTATTTTTCCTTTGTTTTAAACATTGTTTTTGCAGAAATAAGCCCCTGATTTAAATTTGTTTTGTTGTCAGTGGATAAAATTTAAACACCTGACGTAAATGATACTGCAGGACATAATACTCAGAATATCTTGCCCCACCTGTGAGATTCCCTATAAAGAAGCTAGACCAAAAAATAGAAAGAGATTTGTATCCTCAATTAGGAATCATGAGTCAAATTACTTCATAAATGTAGAACTAAAATTCGTAACCAAAGGTTGAAAAGAAAGAGGATATTGAAAAGAACGGTCTCCTTAAAAAGAGGTACAATTATTTTTTAAACTGGCTTATGGATAAAATTACGCAATCCACAGACGCTGACATCATTAGTAAGGATGGAGCAGTTCAATTGCCACTCCCTAAACACATTTTGTTGGGGGAAAAACATACAGTTCACATCAGGTCTAACTTAGAGCAAAAATAGACAAGTTCTTGTCACCAGCCAAACTGATAGGTTTTGGAAAGTTTAGATGACATTGTGGTGTCAGGCAGTTTAGTTCAGACCATGATGGGCTTGTGATGTCATTTAGTCGTATTTAAGTCATAGCTAGTCTTGGTATGAACACGGTTGATAGTTCTATTATGTTCTTCCATGTTCTTCTCTCTGTGTTCATTTTTTTCTGCTCCAAAAAATGGATGTTACATTTTAGTTGTGTTTAACAATTACCTTCTAGTTCTGTTCTGACGGTGGGGAGTCACCTGGTCAACCTTGCATATAAAATGTGAGTCCTGTTGGCCAGAGGCATGTATGTACAATTAAGCTCTAGTTGCAGATAATCTCTCTATATTTTGAGTAATATTGTTATTGTTAAAAGTGATTGCCTACCATGTCTTTATGTAAAAACATGAAAAAGCTTGTTTCTTTGTTTTAGAGTTGCATGATGCTCATCATTTTCACACAACCTGCTGTCCCGCCATTTGTATGTCCTGAATCAGTGAACTATTTTTATGTCAGAGTTTTTTAAAATAAAAATTTAAAACAAAGAAATGTATTCTTATTTGAAAATTGCATGATGTTCCTCATTTTCACACACCCTACTGTCCTACTATTTGTATGTACTGACTCAGTTATTTTTTATCTTTATTTAAAAAAAAAAAACAACATAGAATTATGTTTTCTTATTTGACAATTGCATGATGTTTCTCTATTTTGCAGACCCTGTAGCACAATCTGTAATTCAGGTAGGAAATGGCTACAAACTTTCTCTACACCCTATGTTAGCACTAAGTATGACTCACACAGACAAAGTGCCAGAACTCTGTGGTGTTAGAAAGAGTGCTTCTTGTCAAATTTAATAACTTAATCTACCCCAGGAAGATAGCTTACAGCAAGCCGACCTCCAGATAACGGGCCCTGAACTTTTTAGCCTCCCTGTTTTGTTGGTTTTCGTCTGCCCTTTTTACCTTAAGCTGAGGGTGAATGTTGGGGAGAAGTTTTAGGTTTCTGTTTCTCTAACTAGATCAAGGAAGAGAATATTACTTACACACTGAGGGTAGTTTTTTTGTCGGACTTTTTTTACCTCCAACGGGAAATAATTTTTCTCAAACAAATTGCTGGAATTTTTCATGAATCACCTTAAGTATGTATTATAATAGATAAAAGTTGTCTGGATTTTACCCCAATATCCAAATATTTTGTGTGGTTTATTTATGCCTCACAAACCCCTCCTCCCAATGTAGCACTTGCTTAATCTGGATTTTTTAAAGGTCCACTTTCATCTTTGAATTTGAGGCTTTGAGAATATTTTTGGTTCCCCTGTATTAGCCCTGAACTAAAACAGAAGCATTGCATGATTATCTTTTTAAGCACTTTGTACCCCTCAGAATGAATCACCAACTCATCTGGTAAAATAATGTGAGGTCACACTGGGGTGTGGGGGGGGGGGGGGTTTGTAGGGATTGGGGGGGGGGGGCGATGACATCTTGGTCAACTTATGGACCTATTCAACCACACCAAACCACAGGTGCGTTGTTGTAGTCATCTCTGTATTTCGAGTCATTACTCCAATTAAATCAGTGTAAGAACTTTCCACACACCCTGTAAAATTGTTTTAATGAATCACCTCAGGTATGCTGATGTGGCTGGACTTGGTGGTCCCCCTGTATCAGCCTTAACCAGATCAAGGAAGAATTTACATGCTACTAAGGGTAATCCAGACGGTGAATGTGCATTGTTAAGTGAGTTGTGATTGTGGTCACATACCACTCTCTTAAGACGTGTGAGTTATGAAGTTGTATTCGTAGTGTATATTACATATTTATAATACTTAAGACAATAAGCCAGAAGGGGATTTTGTCTAC